TTTTTGGTGGAACCAGGGATTGAACTCAGGCCCTTGCGCTTGCCAGGGAAGTGCTTACTCTACTGAGCCATCTCCCCGGCCCTTATGAAGGGATTTGGAAGTTTGTAAAATGGGTGTCTTGGTCCACTTGGGCTTTTATAACAAAATACTGTAGAGTGTGCAGCCTGTAAGCACCAGAAATGTAGTTCAAACAGCTCTCGAAGTCCAGGTGCTGGCAGGTTGTGGGTGTGGGGAGGGCCTGGTTGCTCATACGGCCATCTTCTCACTGTAACCTCACAGGTGGGAGGATAAGATCCTTCTCAGGGTTCTGCCTGTGTGATCTACTCACTTCCCAAAGGCTCTGAACTCCTATTCTGTCACCTTGGGGTTGGCATTATAGCGTTCTTTGATAGGACATAACCATTCATTCCGCAATGGGCCATATTATGGGAGAAATTATTACAGTTCATTCAAGGATTAGAAAATGACTAAACTTGATAATCATTAAAAGTTACCTCAAAATGTGACTCTGGACCTAGAGGTTTTATAGTTAAATGCTTTCAAAATTTTGAGTATTTTCTATTATATAATGTGCTTCAGCATAAAAAAAAAGGTAAGAAAATTATATAGTCATTATATAAGTGGGAAACTGATTATCTACATTTAACAAGAAAAGCACAGAAAAGGGACACTTACCAGATGCAGCTTGAGAATGTTGGTGTAAAGATACTAAACAAATGCTACTAGCCAGTTCGCTGTGTAGTAGGTCATTTGTCCAGTTAGACGCCCATCCTCTCTATTCAGGACAAAACTTCATGTTGGGTAAGCAAAAGAGCAGAGTATCGGAGAAATAGCAAGGCAAATCCTCCTTCTTAGTGAGTAAAGGGACGCTCTTGCTTGCTAAACCCGTGGGAATGCAGTGCAAGCTGTTTGATTGTGAGGCCTTCACCGGAAAGAAGCAGGTCAGTTTAGCTTGAGTTAGAGGGTTACATCTATACCAAAACCTGAAGTAGGATGCAGGCATTCTTTCACAAGCTTTAGTAGTCATCATCAGTAGGCTAAGAGGATGTTATTTTATATAACATGGATGCTTGAATGTGATATGCCTCAGGCAAGGAGGTAGGCTGTGATTTACTTTTTTTTTTTTTTTTGGCGGTACCAGGGATTGAACTCAGGGCCTTGCACTTGCCAGACAAGTGCTTATTCTACTGAGCTATCTCCCCGGCTCCTACATTATTTCTATTTATTTATTTTTATTAGGACAGGGTCTGTAAGGTGTACAGGGTCTTACTGCGTAGATAGGACTCGTAGTGATTCTCCTGTTTTCAGCCTCCCAAGCGCTGGGATTACAGATGTGCACCACCACACTGAGTCTCAATCGCTGTCTCAGCGCAACCCGGGGGTGGGGCAAAGCACGGCCACGTGGGGATTGAACCCCAGCCACTGCGCTCTGCCTAAGCAGGTGCTTTAGTCTGCTGAGCTATCTGGCTGGACCTCTACATTATTTTTTGGTTGCAAAATTTTACCAAAGAAGAATGTCAAAGACAAATAGTACCCTGGCATGGTGGCACCTGCCTGTAATCACACCCTGGGAGGCATGGCAGGGAGATGGCTACAGGTTTGTGGCCAGGCTAGGCCACATGAGTTGAAAGCCAACCTGAATTACATAGTGAGACCTTTTCTCATGCCCCCAAACAAAAAGACAAAAGAAAAGACAGAATAGTGAATGGCATTGTCATTGAAACAGTTGTTTTACCAGATTTACTGTCTTTTAGTCTTTAATTAACGATATCTGTGTTCTAGTCTGGAACAAAATTATCGTTTCGAGTAAGTAGAAGTTTCAGGTTGCTTCTTTTTTAAAATTTATTTATTTTTTATTTCTTCTGGTACAGGGTCTCACTATGTAGTTCACACTCATAATGATCTTCCTGTCTCAGCCTCCCTAGTGCTGAGATTACAGTTGTGTGCCACCATGCCCGGTTCTGGGGCCAGCACGCTGTGCCCAGGGTTCCAGGGCCGGCACAGCATGCAGTACTGGGGATCAAATTTGGGACCTTGCACTTGCCAGGCAGGCGCTTATGGTCTGAAGCTATTTCCGTAGCTCTTCATGTTGCTTCTGAGATACATATGAAGAAAAAATTCTTAAAAATCTCACTTTGTAGTCCAGACTGGGCCTGAATTTACTATATAGCTCAAGCTGGCCTGGACCTGTGATCTTCCTGCCTCAGCCTCTTGACTTCTGGGATTGCAAGGATGTGTCACCACAGATAGCTCATTATTATTTTTCAGATTCATTTGTTTCTGGTTAGCCAGTTATTTATTGTGTTATCTTCTGCAAAGAGTGGACTTGAGAGTTCTCTAAGAACTCTGAATAGTTTTCATGTAGAAGAGAGCTCTTATAAAATAAAGGTTATTGTAAAATGTTTGATGGTAGAAGATTGGGCTGATTTGGCATTGTTTAGACTTTAACTGTAACTATGTTTTATATATTTATATACCATAAGAGATGCAATTCTATACGGTGCTCACATTTCTGGTTTATCTCTGTGTGTTAGGTCCTATTCAAAGTGTTTTCCATGTAGTAACTCTTTTAGGCCTTGTTACAGCCCTGGGATACAGGTACTCTTGCTTCCCTGTATTCTTGCAGTTGATCCTAGATGAGAAAAATAGAGAATGTTTAAGAAACTCACCCTGAGATCCCACAGTCCATGGCACAGATGGAATCAGGACCCAGGCTTTGGCCTCGGAGCCCCACCCTTTCATACCATGCTGGGAATACTGTATGACTGCTTTTCAGCAGGCCCATTTTTCAGAAGAAGCCTAATTTGAAGTTGAGTATATAATACAATTTCTACTGAAAAAGAAGAAAGCTAAGCTGGTTTGAGGCCCTTTTTGGCCCTCCTGCCCACAGTAGTCTTAGGTGTCTCCACAGGCTTCATGGAATACTCTTGAAAATTACTAGACTAAATGACCTAAAAAACTGGTTTTCTTTTTTTTTTTTATTTTATTTTTTTATTTTATTTTTTTTTTATTTTTCAACAAATAATACACTGCATATATTCTTCAAAAAACTGGTTTTCATTTAAAAATTTAGTGCTGGTATCATTATTTTCAAACTGTGGCTGAAGTGGCTCTTTAAGTTCTTATTTTATTTTCAGGTGGATGCTCGCTGTGACCGGACTGGGGAGGTCATATTTAAAGACAACTTTTCTTCAGCAGTTGCTGGTGTGGTAGAGGGAGATTATCGAATGGATGGCCATGTACAGCTAATCTGCTGCTCAGTGGATGGGGAAGGTAAGTTGGGATGAGAAAAATCCTTGAAAAGTCAGATTTTCAATTTCATTGGATCAAGATGCCAGGAAATTCCACTATATTGTGTTGAAGCTCCCTAGGTATAACACATTCACCTGAGTTGGAAGGATGAGAATTTATATTTTTGGCTTTTCAAAGCAAATAATTGATGACCCAAGGATAGGTTTGAGCATCTTTGGGATGCTCTTCAATCAAGTGAGTATTTTTTCTTTTGCCAGTCCGGGGCTACCTGCCAGGCACAGCAGAGATGAAGGGAAACCTCATGGACACCAGCATGGAGCAGGACCTGATCCGAGAGCTAAGTCAGAAGAAGCAGAATCTGCTGCTGGAACTCCGTAACTATGAGGAAAGCACCAAGGTGGGACCTAAGGTGAAGGGGAACTAGGCATGTTGAGATTGACCAGGAAGATCAGCAAATGTGGGAGAAGAGTTACAGTCAGAGCTGGCCAGGAAGCTGAAACGGGAGGATTGTAAATTTATGGCCAAGCCAGCAAGCTCTGTCTCAAAAATTAAAAAACAAAAATACAAACCAAACCAAAACAAAAACACTGGGTATGTAGCTCAGAGGTAGAATGCCTGAGGCCCTGAGTTCATTCCCTAAGACTTCTAAAAGAAAAAACAAAACCAACGCTGATAGGGAGTTTGAATTGCTTGCAGCCAGTATTCAGCACGGGTGTGCTTTGCTACTGGCATAGGAGTGTGAAGCATGGGCTGGAGGCTCTCTGGGGCCAGAAGCCAGCGGAGTCCAGCATTGTTCTTGTGGAGTGTGTAGACAGGCTATTTAAAGTGAACATTAGTTCAGCATTTTTGGAGAATGAGTTGAAATGGGTGGGTTGTTTTGCAGGCTGAATTGAGCAGTCCACTGAATGAGGTTGAGGGGCAAAGGGACGTCATACCAGCCAATACCAGGCTCCACACTATCTTCTCAGTCAATCTGGGAAGCGAGACTCAAGCGGCACATACAGAGCTGTGCATTTCTACTTCAAATGGTAAGACATTTACAGCACAGGTTCTGGTGTCCATGCCACCTTGGCGTGGCCACCGAACTGCCTTTTTCTTCTTCCCTGCAGACACCATCATTCGAGCAGTATTGATTTTTGCAGAAGGAATTTTTGTAGGTGAAAGCCACGTGGTACATCCCAGCATCCACAACGTCTCCAACTCTATCCGTGTCCCAATCGTACCACCCAAAGATGTCCCTGTCGATTTGCACTTGAAAGCCTTTGTGGGTTACAGAAGCAGGTGACCCTTTACAAGTTCATTCCATAGAGGACTCGTTTCCCATTGTGCGTACAGTCTGTGGGGCAGTGATGTCACTGAGTGGTTCTGCCCTCCAGTACAGGTTTCCCAGGACCTTTTACTTCCCTAATTTGGAATCTTTAAAAAAGCACAGGGGCTAATGTGTAAGTTTAAAATGGTTATTTTCTGTTTTAATCAGATGATCTCAGAATCTCAAAAATGTTTTAGTTGGGACTAGAAGTGTAGCGCCATGAAGAGTGTGCTTAGCATGTGCAGGTGCTGGGATGGACCCCCAGCATTGCTCGACCAAGAAAAGTTCCAGTAATGATTTGTCAACTCATAGTTTTGGCCCCTAAGCCTAAGAGTTGGGGTGTACACGTATGTTAGAACAGTACACAGTCTATATAGTCTATGCAGTCTATATAGTCTTAGCTAATAAAGAGAAACCATTACATTTGTGGAAAATAAGTCTCCCACGTCCCTTTAGGGTGCGTAAATGGCCTCGTGTCTGCGTGTGTGTATGCATGCTCGTCATCTTCAGCTCCCAAAGCCCGCTCCTACATGTCAGCCCTCAAGTATTTTGGGGATTGAAGCCCTTAAATATCGACTGATGATGATCCAGGAGTGACTTGAGTTTCGGGGTCTTGCTTTTTGAAATAACATATCAAACACTTCTCTTGTGTCTCACTGGTTGACCCTAGCACTCAGTTCCATGTATTTGAGTTGACGAGACAGCTGCCCCGATTCTCCATGTATGCACTGACCAGCACAGACTCTGCCAGGGAGCCCCTCAGTTACGTTAACTTTGTCATTACAGAACGGGCACAGAGGGTGAGTACGTGGTCTTTTTTTTACAGTGCTTTTGCTCACATATCTTATTTTGAAAAAATACATACAGTATTTATCCGAGCGATCCTTAATTTCCAGTGAATTTTAGCCAGTTCTTAATTCTTTTCTTTCTTTCTGTTATGACCTTAGTATGGTTGTCTTTACTTAGTGTTTCAAAGGAGCCTACATTAAGATGGAGAGAAGCTGGGTGCAGTGGCACATGCCTGTAGTCCCAGCTACTTATCAGGCCAGGGTAGGAGGCTTGCTTGAACCGAGGAGTTCAGGGCCAGTCTGGGCAACATAGTGAGACTGTTAAAGAAAAAAGATGGAGAGAGAGTGAGACTTGAAGCTGGAAACACATTTTGGGTTCAAATTCTATCTTAACTAAAGAAATTCTTATTAATCTTTGGGTATTCTGCTCTGAGCCTCAATTTTCTTATCCATAAGTAAGGATAGTTTTGCTCATGTCATAAAGGGCCCTTGAGTATTGTGTGACTGGTATAGTAGTACCTTGTAAAGTCTGAAGTACTAATACCAGCCTTAACTTCGGCTGGGTTGCAGTATTTATTTATTTTTGGCGGACTCAGGGATTGAAGGCAAGCGCTTATTCTACTGAGCTATCTGTCCGGCCCCCAACATTACAGTCTTGTTGGTAAGGCTTTTTTTTTTTTCCTTTTTGTACCAAGAATCAAACTCAGGACCTTACACTTGTCAGGCAAG